AGCTGATACAGTTCAAAAAAAAGTGCATCTTTTCCTAGGATCTACTGCTTTCCATTCCAAATTATTTCTTCAGACTGTTTACCAAAGGCTGAGAAATATATTCCTTGAAAAGTGTTAAACAGTGAGACTAGTAGGTGCCCTAAAGAGAAACTAGTACTTACCAAAGAATTTACTCTAAAGCTAAATAAACACCAGGCACATTACAAAAACTAATTTTGGAGATGGATAGCTTCAGTAGTGGCTGAGCAGGTGTACAGACTCTGTTCTATTACTGCATTCTCATCCACTAAGGACATAAGAACATAATCATGTATACAATCTTCTACAGATGGTGAGGCCATTTTATAAAAACAGTTGTTCAAGTTTTGCTATACAAAGAAGCGGTCTTGATATTCAGCACCTGCTTTTATCACATGCACACAATTCTTGACAGTTCTTTTTCCATGCAACCAGCTCCCTGTAAGTGGGAGAGTGGTTGAGGGATAAGGCTCTTTATAATAAAATGAATAAATCAGAAGGACAGGGGAAAGCAGAAAGGAAATCAGACCACATCAGACCACAGATGACTGGTAAGAGGCCATAGGCCATTGTGCCAGTATAAACACTGACAAGGTTAAATATAACATTTATAACAATTTATAACTCAATTGCATTTGTGGGGTTTTTTGGTTTGTTTTTTTGTTGTTTGTTTTTTTTTTTTTTACCACTGAGGAAAACCACCACCACAAAATGAAGATCCCACCAAACCTGGCTATTCCTACTCTGAAATTATTTTCCTTGTGTGGTGGTTTGACAGGAAACGTGTTTTTTGGGATGCTGTGTTTTGGCCAATGGATATTCAGACTTTAATATTGGCATTTAACCTGGCTATTAGTACATTGGACATGCCTCTGAGAACACGGGGTTAAAAGCAGAGCTCTCCCATGGGAGGGTCCTTTTGGGTTTCCGGCGGGAAAGAGTTCGGGTCTCTCCCCCAGCCCAGCTGCTGGCTGGGCAGGGGGAGGGGAAAAGCCATGTGGCCGGGAGAGGTAGGCCTGAGCCCCGGGGTGGAAGGGTGGGAGAGAGAGAGAGAGAGACCGGGAGCCATCGGGCAGCCCCCCCTGAGAGACACAGAGAGAGAGAGAGAGAGAGAGAGAGAGAGAGAGAGAGAGAGACCGGGAGCCATCGGGCAGCCCCCCCTGAAAGACATAGAGAGAGAGAGCCGCTGCCTGGGACTGTAACCTTGAGACTGGATAAACATGGGCCTGTGCCGGCAGCACGGCTGGGACGGAGAAGAAGGGGGGGGTGCAGCTGGCTGCTGGTAGGAGCTTTTGGCCCCTTTTCAGAGAATGAGAACTTTACAGATCATTGATAGAGTGGAAGATGAGGAAGGAATATGCAAGTGTGAGAGAGGTCTGGGCAAGTGAGAAATAGTGGAAGAGTAGAGAAGAATCCTAGTGGGAAGAGATGATGGAGTGGCTTTTGCTGGACTCTTTTTGTACAGCCATGGAGAGAACCATGTTCCTTGTGACACAGAGACTGCATTCTAGGGGGAGGCAATGGCCACAGAACCAAGAGGGTTCAGTGTTGGTGCCCCTCAGCCCCAGGGGATGAAAAAATATGGGGGGGGACAGGTGTCCCAAAGGAGAGATTGTGGGGACAGGTGTCCTAAAGGAGAGACTGTGCCTTTTTTGGATCGGGACAGAGCATCCTTAAAAAGACAACCCTAGAAGCAGCTCTGGTCCGTGTTCAGTGGTGAGAGCACTGGACATGAAAGGAAGAGGTCACAACGGCAGATGTACTCCAGGCAGTGCCACGAGTGACACAGAAACACACGAGGCTTCAGCTGTGTTTCCAGGGGAAGCCCATGGTACAAGAAGGACTCCTCTCCTCTTGATGAACTGAGGATTGATTGTTTGAAGAGTGGTGCTGGACTAAGAGTTGGTGATTTGAGGAATAGATGTATTGTGTTGGAAATTTGGTGGGAGGAGGAAATGTATTTGTAAGGTTTTCATTTTCCCTGTGTGTGTGTTCCTTTTTATCCATAGTTGTAGTGTAGTTGATAAAGTTTTGTTTTCTTTCTTCCCTAAGTAGGAGCCTGCTTTGCTTATTCCTGGTCACATCTCACAGCAGCTACCAGGGAGAAGGTATCTTCATGGGGGCACTGGCATTGTGCCAGTGTCAAACCATGACACCTTGAAACTAGCTCCTCAGTGAAAGCTGCACTTAATTACAGTTCTTGAAATCCTTCTTTAGATAGTTTCCATGAGACATGCTAAATGAAAGAGCAAAAGTTTAATAGGATTAAGCTGAGAAAAGTGTGTTCAGGGTTTCTGTGAACAGCACTTACTAACCCAACTCTGGATCTCCTCATTAAACTTTTCTGCTAATGAAAAAGTCAGCCCAAATACCATCCACTGGACACATTTTTTTTCCTAGAACAATTATCTTTAGACTAGAAAGATTCAAAGCAATGAAGCAATCTCTAATTTACAGCCACTCAATACTTTAAAACTGTTGTCCTATTAGTAAGGTCATATATAAGCCTGTTTTGTTTTCTGAGTATATAATCTTTCAAAATTTATTTCAGCTGCTGTGAAGAATGAAGAATTGTCATATTCATCACCATTAATTTATGTGAATGAAAATAGATATTTTAATTAGCACTATGCCTATGGTGCACAGGCTAACCAAAAGGCTGCTGCAGAACAGGTAGGAATAAACAGTACCTAACACAGCAACCAAGGTTCCCTCTCTGATCACTTGTGAAATGCAGCACAGGTAACAATACACACGTTCAGTGAATTTCATTCAACAGCTTTATAATGCATTACTCAGATAGGTTTACAGGTAGTATCACATTCAAATTTGGGACTGATATGAAAATCAACCAAAAAGATTCTTTTGTAAGGCAAGTTACCCCAGGAACAGATCCAAACTTCCCTTTGCATGTCTCCTAAGTAGGGACTTGTTCACATAAGAGATACCCAGAATACTAAATACAACATAGCATATATTTGTCTCTGAATTGAAAGATCTAAAGGCTCCCAAACAATTTTATCAACAGTTTCATATGGAAAGCGGCTAATCAAAAAGAAAATGAGAAATATGCAGGGGGCCAGCATGGTATCTGCAACAAAGGCTGGAGAGGAGGCAAGAAAGTAATAGGGGTAGAAGCGCTGCTCTAATAATGCTCTAAAGGTATCTATAGAATCTCTTTACAGGACGGTCCAATCATGTCAGTCTGTAAAATGAATACAGCACAGTATACAAGCAATACAAGCAGACTTGTCCCTTTCCTTTGGATCAATTCAGAGTAAGACAAAGATTTTTATGAACATTGGGCTTTCCTGTTTTTACTTTTAGCAGTGTCCAGCCCCATTTTAGAGACCAGACGTCTTTCCCCTCCTTCAGTTGTTTCATGTTTGATTTAATTGACAACAGCAGAAGCTGATGGGAGAAGTAGACTGAGAGTATTTATTGATGTCATTCTTAGCTTACAATAGGTAAACCATCAGGACAAAAATTCCTTCAGAAGCGTCTTATTACAAATATAATGGCAGAGCATCTAGGGCTGAATGCTTGTGTGTTAGAGATTATTAGTTGGTTCAGTAAAACCCATCAGCACACCATTTGTGCTACCTGCTCCCTATATCTGCTGACAAACACTTTCTACTTATGCAAATGACACAAAAACAGAACAATATTGGAATACTCCAAGGAAGAAATTTGGTATAACGAAAGCCTGCAGAAATACCAGTGGAAGCAAAATCATCTATTTCTCTGCACCTTCAAACAATCTTCAACTCCAAAAATCATTTACCCTAAAGAAACAAAAAGCAACCAATGCTTGAGAAATCAAACCCATTTTTCACCTACAAAAAATATATGATACTGCTTCTTCTGATATCATCCATCTTCTTGCCATGTTGTCAAAGTCCAGATTAAAAATGTAATTAATGCATCCTTTCTACCTATTAGAGTAGAACGGAAAAGTGATAGAAACTATGAAACAAACCACAGATTTGTCCAGATAGATAGCCATCAAGTCCAAGTGTAAGGTATTTCAAAGGTCTGTAAACACTGATAGACACAGACTCTCGATGCATGATCTACCAATTAGTCGCAGGACCTAGCTGCCTATAAACTCCAAAATATTGGGCTGAGCTTATCTAAACATATGGCATTCTTCCTGTTTGTTACTCATCTGGGACAACTAATACACAACAACTTGCATTTCTTACAGAAAGCCCCCAGCGTTTCCATTTGAAAATAGTAAATCAGGACCCATTAATTAAAACTGCTAAAAATCAAGCAAGTACATTTCGAAAGCATAACTTTTTTGTTGTTGCATGCAGCCATAGCTAAATATTTATGCTGTCTACACTACACAATGCATTCTTCCACTTTCAGCAAGGATACTTTAACCTACTTGTGCCACTCTTCAGAGAGAATATTATAAAAGGAAATTTGTGAAGCTGTTAACAGCTCTCTCATCTAGGCTGTCTGCTTAAATAATAACAATGCTTATTAGTTATATGTAGTACTGAAAACAATACTTTGGAGAATAATTAACAACTTGTGAGTTTTGGATGAGAAATCAAGAGAGGGTGGGAGGGCTAAGTTCATTGCATTCTTGATTCTCCACTGTCTTGTTTATAAATGTACACTATGAGAGCAGTCTGACCAGTTTTGCTTTCCATCCATTCTGTATGTAAGTAGCTGGCCAAAGTGCAAAGCCTTACACATTTGATTAGTTTTCAAGAAGGTATTAATGCAATGCTGATCACACTCAGTGATTAAACTCAGAGGCTCATTAGGGATAAACATTTAAGGCTAACAAACACTACCATACCTAGAAACCATAGTTAACATTTCATAAACTACATACTATTTCTGATCCCTCCTACTACCCACCTGCTGTTCAACAGCTTTTATGTCCCTAAATATGTGGGAAAAGAACATGCTTAGTACAAGAATGAAAGGCAGTTTATGCTTTAGGACTTCTTCCTTACACTTACCTACACTTGTGGGAAATATATCCTCATTGTTGATTTGCACCTCAATCCAGTCCATGAGAAGATTCATATATTGGGGTGCAGGCAGTGCTGTGGGCTTCTTGTACTTCAAGTCATCCTGCCACCGATACTCGTACTTGGGGCCTCCAGACATCACTGGGCAACTCCTCTCCGTGCAGAACTCACAGATAGTCCCATAAATGAGGTTGATCCTATTGAAGAAGTCGACAACATGAACAGCCACCCAGTCATTCTGGTCTTCTCCACTGGGCAACTGCACAGCTGCTTTCAAGTCCACACCTGAGTTGAGAGATGCTTGCGCTCGTTTGTGAAGTTCAAACCTCTGGGTTCCAGGTTCAAACTTACGTTTTGGGCGGAAAGTCTTATCTTTATTGAAGACTTGCTTGAGTGCTATGGACATGTCTGTTAATCTTCTGCACTGAAGTAGCTGGCAGGAAAGCACGTCTGAGATTTAATGCAAGTATCTGGAAACAGCTGCTCTCTATCACAGGCTTTCCAGGCCCTGCTCTTTTTCCCAGAGAAGCTTGTATCAACTTCAGAGCAATTTATTAGCTCTTCCTCTTGAAAGCCCCCCTGAATGACTTCATTTCCCTAAGGATACAGAAACAATACACATCAATGGCAAATTCAAGACTGGTCCCATCAGTTTGCTACTTTTTTTCCAGAATTTTCTAGCAATTATAAGATGAAATATAATGTGTAATATGCTAGCCTTAAAAGCTGCCCAATCCCTAACTAGATGACTTAATTTTTTTTAAGTGACTCATTTTTTGAAGTATTAAGGAATTAACTTCTCTGTTCTTTTAAAATATCTACCCCAATAGAGGTTCTTAAGTTATAAAGATGGGAATTCAATAAATCTTGTATGATCAAATTTTAAAACCAACATTTTCACTTTGCTACATTTTTACAGCCACTGTATAACATTCAAAATGTGCATATAAGTCAAGTAGGAAAAAAAACTATGTGACAATTTAGAATCTTTATCTAACTGCTCCTGTAGCTACCAATGGGGCCTCTAACCAATTGCCATAGCTTCAGTGCTCATCTCTGTGGCAAAAAGAAATCAGCAAGCAAAACTTATCCATATTTGTTCTCTGTTTTAAATTATTGAGGTGTTCACTTTTGCAAACCACATAGAACAAATAAGAAGGATAACTATGGTATTGCACAGAAATAATTCCTGTTTCCCACAAAACTGTATGGAGATTGTTACTTTTATTGACCCACCTTCAGAAATTCAGTAGTAGACTTAGATTTTTATTGGATTGTGTACAACTATTAGCAATTGTGAAGCCACCACTTTTCTATAGCTCTCTTCATCTTCTTTACAGGGAAATACTTGGCATTGTTCTTACAAAAGCAAGAGCATAGACTTTGTGTTGTTCCATCTAACCTAAGCAGGCAGTGGAATGGTTTCAACAGTGAGCCTGACTGAACAAATTACTGCATTACAGCTTTGTTTGCTCTCATATTTGTACAAGAAAGAAAGTATATTATCACTAAATCTATACACTTAGAGTGACAGGATAGAGAGGAGCTGGTTCAATTAGACTTTTGTTTTAGTACTAAAGATTTTGTGAATAAATACAGAGAATAAACATTTCATTCTGTGCAATATTAAATTAAATAACACAATATATGTTAAACCTGCATAGCAATACAAAAATCCTCCCTTATCAGTGGCCAATTCTTACGGGATTATCTGTGTTGCACTGTTTTCCTTAACCAAAATCATGTCCATGAAAATTTTACAAGGCAGTGTGTGCCTAGCACTAAATTCTTCTGAAGACAGTTGCCTGAGGCATTGCTGAGGGGCAAAAAGGAAGAGAAAAAGGTGTTGCTTTCTTCTTAATATCCACAAGAAAGTAACACCTACCTTAGCAAAGAGAAATTTGGTGTGCTAGACCCTGTGTCCCCACAATAGGATGTAAGTGGCCACAAAAAAATCCTCTTCCAAACATGTGAAAGACTATCATGCAAGCTAATTTGTTGGTAAGCAGCAGTCACATGGAATCAGCAGAGAAGTGCTTGCTTTAACTTTTCCTGATGGCATGATGGAGGGATATTCCAATCATTACCTTGTAAACAGTCATTTTTCCATATCTGCAAAATCCAAGAAGTTTTGGAATTAGCTCCAGGGAGATTATTGTCATATCTGACATGACCCTTGAGTAATATTCAAAGACTGAGATCCTGAATATTCCAGTCCAGAAATTCTTTCCTTGACAAAGATCAGGGAAAGAAGACTTTAAAGTAGCCTTGGAACAGTTAAGTGTCATTGGCAGGAAATGAAGGTACTTTTAAATAGTCAACTTTGCCCTACAATTTGTTGTTTGTTACTAAGACCCAAAACTTCCAGCCTCAAATACTCTGTGGCAGCCATCTGTTTATTTAAAAGCCCTTAAAAACATAGGTGAGTAGTGCTGCATGGACTGAGCCTGTGACTGACACACCTGAAGATGGCATGGAGCCAATGTCCCAGTTTGCAATAATAAGCAGGTTAAGTCCAGAATTTTACAACTCAGGTAATTACTTTCTTCCCCACATTAATACACCTGGTGCTCTTATGTGGTTTGACTCCCTTCATCACCTGCAAATATTCATCAGAATATGTAAGGAGTTTTATTTAAAGCGACAAGCTGAGCAGCAAATAAAACTCATCTTCAAAAGAGACACTTTGAAACACAGTACTCACAGCAATTAAAGCTCCTTCAAGAAAAAAAGAACACACTGTATTTTATAAGCTATTTTCTACTAAATATGCAAACAAAATGAATCACATTAAATAATGTTTCCCACTCCTCTCCATATATTCAGGAAATCTGCATAAAATTAATTAATTCAGAGAAAATTCAACCGAAACATTCAGCAAACAACTCATTATCTCAAGTCTTATGTTGATGTTGAAGGTCTCTGTAGAAGCACACACACATTCTGGTCAAATTCACCTCTAAGACTCATCTAAAAAATTATTCTACTGTGCAGCCAGATGAAACTGTTCTTTACCTCACCCGGGCAGAATCAGAACAAACAAGAACTTCCTACACATTTTGTGTCTGGAGAATCTTCTGTTCAGTATCCTGCAATAAAAGCCAAGGCTGTTCCTCTTTCATCTTCCTGTAACCTTCCAAAATACAAAGTACAAAGCTTGTATCTCACTGTTTAACTTCTCTTAAGAGATACAGCTCTGCTAAGAGCTTATTTTTTCCCTCTTTCTCTGTTTAGAAATATGACTGAAGACTGTGCAATGCCAGGGGATGAACAGACTTGTTTACTCATGTATTCTCACATACAAGAATGAAAAATAGAAAACTATAAGACCTGACCTTCACAAAATACTGCAGTGAATCAACCCTATGAAATACTTTTTTTTTTGCATCCTGGTTCTTGATGGTATTTGCTATCTAATTAACTATTATCTTTACTCAAAAGCTAACAGAAATGATCAAAGAAATAAAAATTTAGGCTTTTGTAAACATTTACAAACAACATTACCACTACTTCCTTGGAATAAAGAAGCTTTTCCTTTATTGACAGGAGACAAAGGAGCAGGCTCACCTTATTTTCAGTAGTGATCAAGCACAGGCATTTTAGGTTTGGATCCTTCAGAGGCTGATGCTAATGGGAGAACTCTAGACAAAATCATTGTGCTCTAAGACCATCTTTTCTGCTTAGGCAATAAAGTGGCTGGTGTTAATGACAGGATGGCCACTCCTTTGCTGAGGCCTGATTCACTAATCCGTTTCAGGAACTCTACCTTTAGACTTCCAGCACTCCCTGTACTGTGCTTGAATCAACAATCATGACAAGAGGTTTTTCATTTCATCCTAAACCACATACTGTCAATTAAAACTTTGTATGGCGGAACTTAAAAATCAAAGCTATTGCTTCAAAACTGCATAACATCAGCAAAAATGAAAACTCATCAGATAGCTTCAACAACAAATGACAAACAAAATCTCACCATTTTTAAAGCACTGAGAATGTAACTTGCTTTGCCAGTCATTACATTCACTTCTATGACAGTTTTCACCTTACAAGAATGAAAAATGCTTCCAGTTTCATGATCTCAACTGGTCTTGGGGGAACTGCTTCAAAACTGAAACACTGTGGACAATGTGATATGGGTCACACTGAATCATAACTCCTTGAAACCCGTGGTACAGTACCACCCACTCTCATTCCACATAAAACTAAATTTGTCTCTTGGTAAGAGATACTTTGCAGTTTACTGTTACAGTAATGCCAACAGAACTGCTCCTGATTTATACTTGTGTCAAAACTGATAAAAACGTGCTTCTAGTCTTTTATGACAGGTTCTAATTATACATAAAGGCATAAAGAATAACGTTATCACTCATGGTATTTGGCTTAATGGTATACTGGGACAGTGTCCTGCACATCCCTCCGAACTAAATGACTGTCCTGGTATGGGCAGCTCAGAAAGGTAATTCCTCCCAATGATTTAGTTTCTCTTTTTTTTCAGAGCAATGTATTTCTGGGACAGTCACCAACATCTTTTCCTGGTGGACTATTCCAAAGCATTTATAATGCAGCTGGGTGAATTCCCTTGCTGGGGAATTTACCATTCTCAGAGCTATGCCTGAGAATGGTAAACACAGATGTGGAGATGGTCTCAGGACAACCAGACCTCATAAGCTTCATCCATGGCATCACCATAGTGACCAACTCTGTCCTCCAGTTTGTGCACAGACAGAGACAGAAACTTGGCCCAAAATCACGTATACCAACATCTGGAAATAATAAACCAGTCCTACTGATGCAGATACCATTAAAAAAAAAAAAAACACAACAAACACACATCATGACCAGCATCATATCAGAGTCATTGCTGTGTTAAAAGCATACTATATACTTTCTCCACATATTTTCTATTAAATCACAGGGAACAAGAATGTTAAATGACACACTGTTTCTAGACACATACCTTTCATCATGATATTCTAGGGAGAGTTACACAAGCTTTAGAGGTCTGCTGGGAAGGTAGCTAATATAAATCCTCTTTTATTAAACCAGACAGTGAAGAAACATTATTTCTCCAAGAAAAAGCACACACAGAGATGATTATCCAGCAATGCACAATATGAAAACCAACTCTGCATCAGCTCACTTCTACATTTTTATATTTTTCTCTTTAAAATCTAAGTCTCCACTCCCCATTCTATCAGGAGTGATACTGGTTGAGTTACAATTTCCTTTCCTCTAAAGCTGCTGGGGTTACTTTGTGCTAGTAACCAAAATAATGACCTGCAGACTCAAGACACTCAGGCAGATTAGAAAGAAGCCTTCTCACAGTCAGAAACACTTCTAACATATAACTATATGCATTCATTTGACATGCAATAACTACCTTATGCTCTGTCTGGGCATGGGGAAAAAAAAGGGGCAAGTGATTTTGCAAGACTAACAAAAAACTGCAATTGTAAACAATCACAGGAATCACCATATTGTTTCCATAATGAAAGTATTAAGGTCCAATGGAGCAAATATAAGTAACCTTTGATACTTTTCTAAGGTAGAAGGCTGGAAAGGGAAAGCAAGATACAATGGATAGCTGTCCATAAAACTGTGTGCTTTAAAAATGAACGCAGCTATGAAACAAGAGATAAATAGTTGTTAAATTGGATCAGCCTGAAATAAATGATTTATGATTCTTAAAAAATACTGAGGTTTTCATAGGGATAAAAATGAAAAATAATATTTGGCTAAAGAACACAATCACTGTCATGACTGAGTAGGAATGGCTTGGGCTTAGATCAGGGCACGAAAGATAACATTTGCAGTCATTCTTAGACTGATGCCCTTAAATATTGCATCATATTTTCCATGAGCATGTTAGGTGATGTTAGGTAGAACTATTGAATTTATGTATCCCAATAATTTATTTAAAAATATTTAATTCCAATTCTTTCAACAAAGTTCCCTCCTATACAGATGGAGATGCGCCTCTTTCCTTTTAGGAAAATTGGTTGTACAGAACAATTAGAAGTTGACTTAAACAGCAGTAATTTCTATGATGAAGTGCATCAGCTGTTTAACAGCAGCAGAATCAGGTATGAGTGCTCAAATCCTAGATGATAAGTGCTGTTTAATAATGCAAATGAAGCATGCTTTTTCTCAATGGGGTAAATGTTTATGTTTTAACAGATAACTGGCTGCTCAAGTAGTATAATTCTAGTGCCTTTTACAAATCTTAAATCCAATTACACCTCATCTGAAATTCTGCAAAAGTACACTGATCACCACAAAGGAACTGAAAATACCCTGATGCTTATTTGCTACAAGTTTATATTGGTTACAGCATCCATGGCATTCTAGTGAGGAATGTGCACTTCCTGTAGTATATAATGTAAGGTGAATTGAAATAAGTATCTCTCAGAACTACAGTAAAGAAACTACAAAAGATACATTAGTTAGATTACACTGAAATTCAGCTTATGTTCCCCTGTTACCCAGGAATATGAGGTCTTAACCCATTACAGGCTGAAAGTCATGCGGGTTGTATATGGCCACATTATTTTTCTAAAAATTCAGTCCCACTTTCTCTTCTCTCTTTTCATGTTCCTACATTCTTGACATCTCCCCTATGATACCTGGCCCAAGCATTTATACATCCCCTTGTAGGGAGCTGTATGAGACTCACACGTAAACTTTAATAATTAAAAAAACCACAGATTTTTCATCCCAATCAACTTCTTTGATCCTGTTTTGTCACACAAAACAGAGAAAAGGAGAATATAAGAAAAGGTGTGTGGAAGGCAGAGGATGAGACAGATGGACTAAAACCCTATGGGAGTGGTTATTTAGCCACAGCCACTTAAGTGAATTACGTTTGCCATAACAATTTCAGACCTCCCAAACTTTCAAGCAGATGGGGAACTCCCTTTAGCTCAGGCAACTACTGACAGAGTGACAGATCACAGTGAAGCATGCAGTTCTGACATTCCCTTTGAATGCTGTTTTTTTTAATTGCACACAGGTTTTTCCAGTTCTCTCTCTGGTTCACAGGCTTTTTTACTGACCTGAGCTGTTGGTAGTACACGTGCAAGCACACTGAATCCTGTGCCACTAATCCTGAACCA